ATATTGAAAAACGAGGATTTATTTGATTTAATGTGCTATATGTCAGAAGTAGTGCAGCATTTCAGGAAAGTCGGGATTATCAAGGAGGATTTAATCAAGGTTGTCAAAGGAAGAAATGCGGAATTCTGCAAGAACGTCCGTAGTGTAATGTAGGAATTAGCAAAAGGAAAAAGGGGGTTTGAAGGCTGTAAGCTCAGTTGCAGGAAAGAGGTAATTCGGGAGAGTATCCAGGAAAGGGGGTTAGTGGGGAGGGGAGAATGAAGAAGGGTGAAGGGCGATGGTTAATGGTAAAAAAAAAAAAAAAAAAAAAAAAAAAAAATGTGCTAGACTTATAAGGTCATATAGCACTATAGGAAGGTATAATAAAGGGTGGTAGTTGCTATGTGTCAACTATCTAGAGTAATCTTGAAAGGTTAAAGATGGGTAAATATGTGAGAATGGGTTATGGTGGTTATAGGTAAAGGAATTACATAAGAGATTCACATGTTTATCCAAGAGAGAGTTGAAGGGATAGAGGGGGTGGGGAGGGAGGGATAATGTACGTGTAGTTGGAGCTAAGGGGTGTGGGCTGTGTTGGGAGGGAGGAGGAAGTGGTGTAAGGGGAATATGAGGATTGATAGATATTGGGAGGATGGATATCGACAGTAGTTGGAGTTGAGGGGGATAGGTCGTGTCGGGAGGGAGTAGCAGGAAGGGGCATAGGTGGAATATGAGCAGGATGGATAGATATCGGCAGCAACTTCGAGTGTGGAGGGAGCATGAGTTGTGGAACTCTCGAACATATAGCTTTGAATATCTCCCATAGTTTCTACAGTTGGTTGGAGAGTTTTGTGATTAAGGTTCTTATGAGGAGTGGAATAGGAGACTGGTGTCTGAGGAGTAAAGGCAAAGGTGGGTGGAGGCGAGTGTGGTAGGAGAAGGGGTGGAACATTCAGTCTGCTGTGGATAGTGCAGGCAGGGAGGGGGAGGGGATGGTATTGGGGCTGTAGTTGAGATTAGAGTGGATTTAGAGTGGCGGAAGAAATCGACTGGGGAAAGGAGGAGGTAGAAGTGGAATTAGGGAAGTAGGTAGGTATAGGGGAGGGTGTAATGGTTAAATGGTTAAAAGCGAAATAAATGTGCTAGACATCCAAGGTCATATAGCACTATAGGAAGGTATAGGAAAGGGTGATGTCAGGTGATAGTTATGCATCAGCTATCTAGAGTAATGTTGAAAGGTTGAAGGTGGGTAAGGGGGTTGATGAGGGAAAGGGTTATGGTGGTTTGGGCAAGGGAATTAGATCAATTGAATGATATTTATGCATCTGAGGAAGGAGAACAGGTTGTAAAGGCAAAAGCTGTGGGATTCCGTAAGGATGTTTGATATGTTGGAGGTCGGTGAAGGGAAAATAGGTGTAAAAGAGGTACGTGCTGTGTTAAGGTACGTGCTGTGTTAAGGTACGTGCTGTGTTAAGGTACGTGCTGTGTTTAAGGGTACGTGCTGTGTAAGGTACGTGCTGTTAAGGTACGTGCTGTGTTAAGTACGTGCTGTGGTACGTGCTGTTAAGGTACGTGCTGTGTAAGGTACGTGCTGTGTTAAGGTACGTGCTGTGTTAAGGTACGTGCTGTGCGTGCTGTGTTAAGGTACGCAAGGTACGTGCTGTGTTAAGGTACGTGCTTGTTAAGGTACGTGCTGTGTTTAAGGTACGTGCTTGCAAGGTACGTGCTGTGTTAAGGTACGTGTGTGTAAGGTACGTGCTGTGTTAAGGTACGTGCTGTGTTAAGGTACGTGCTGTGTTAAGGTACGTGCTGTGTTAAGGTACAAGGTGCTGTGTTAAGGTACGTGCTGTTAAGGTACGTGCTGTTAAGGACGTGCTGTGTTAAGGTAAGGTACGTGCTGTTAAGGTACGTGCTGAAAGGTACGTGCTGTGTTAAGGTACGTGCTGTGTTAAGGTGCTGTGTTAAGGTACAGGTACGTGCTGTGTACGGTAAGGTACGTGCTGTGTTAAGGTACGTGCTGTGTTAAGGTACGTGCTGTAAGGTACAAGGTACGTGCTGTATTAAGCGTGCAAGGTACGTGCTGTATTAAGGTACGTGCTGTACGTGCTGTATAAGGTACGTGCTGTATTAGGTACGTGCTGTATTAAGGTACGTGCTGTATAAGGTACGTGCTGTATTAAGGTACGTGCTGTATTAAGGTACGTGCTGTACTAAGGTACGTGCTGTATTAAGGTACGTGCTGTACGTGCTGTATTAAGGTACGTGCTGTATTAAGGTACGTGCTGTATTAAGGTACGTGCTGTATTAAGGTGCTGTATTAGGTACGTGCTGTATAAGGTACGTGCTGGTACCGTGCATTAAGGTACGTGCTGCAGGACGTGCTGTAACTGTACGTCTGTATTCACACACAGACACCAGGACAATGAACTCTAGTCAGAATGGAAACCGCGAATATTCCAATGTAAGAGCTATATTAGTTTAGAGTGAAAGCACCGGTACGTGTTGGGGAATATGAGTGGGAAGGAGATGGGGATGTAAAGGAGGGGTATCAGGGAGGTAGGGAATCTAGGGAAGAGAATTGTTGTGACTAGTGGGTCTATCCGGGAGAAAGGATAGAGGGGATAATGTGCGTATAGTTGGAGTTGAAGGGATGGGTTGTTTTAGGAGGAAGGGGTGTAGGGGTACTATGAGAGAGGGGAATGGATATCAGCAATCACCAATTGTGGAGGGAGCAAGAGTTATGGAATTTGTCTCGAGCGTATAGCTTTGAAGGTCTTGCATAGTTTCTGCAGTGGAGTTGGAGTTGTGGGACAAAGGTTCTTATGAGGGGGGGGGAGAGGAGACTGGTGTCTGAGGAGTAAAGGCAAAGATAGGTGGAGGGGAGAGTGCAGTAGGGGAAGGGGTGGAATGATTAGTCTACTGCAGGTAATGCAGAGGGAGGGGGATTGGTGTTAAGGCTGTAGTTGAGATTGCCTATGAGATTGCCACTAAATCCAGACACAAATGATTGGTAGAATGTAGAAGTGGAAGTGGTGAGTGGGGTGAAGAAGATATAGGGGAAGATGTAGGGACATATTGGAGGGGGAGGGGGCAGAGCGACATTACTGGAGTAGGAAGTACAAGAAACCTTGATGTGCTTCCTGTCTGGCTTCATGTAAAGCGAGACCATTTCTGTATCTAAGTGGCCATCTCAGACTCAAACTTGTGTGGGACAGCCTCTATAAATAGATTACTGGGGCCGCCACAGTTAACACGTGTGCGTGTCTGTACAGGGCAGTTTGATCTGTTTTGACAGGGTTGGGTGCACAGGGGGCATCAGGCTGTGAAACAGCCGTTTGGTAGTATGTTCAAAGTGCCAAAAATTGATATTTATGGGGAGGATGGTATGGTTGAACAGCGAGTTATTGTCTAATATTGCTATTAAGGGATAGTCATGTGAGAAAGTAATTTTGGCAATGTTGGAGGGGTTTTGGTGATCGAGGAATGGAGTAGCAATATACCGATATCATGCCCTGGTCTGAAACAGCCGAACAAGTCTTCCCAGCAAACTGCCCAGTCATTACCAAAGATTGGTCAGATTGCGGAGGAGATAGACTTCCAGCACAAGTATTAAGAGTTGGACTCCTTGCCCCTAATATGGGCATTACATCTTTAGTACTGGGCATGGGAAGCCTTGGCTATGTAAGGGAAATGAAGTTCCACCCCTAGTTACCTGTATGCAGGCAAGGTCTAGGTAACTAAATTAGTGGAGTACTGTGCCCATGGTTCCCGAAGCTGGTTCAGAACTGGCACAATGTCGGCTTTTCAGCACAACTTACACATTAGGAAGTAGGTAGAAGGGGGTTGGAGAAGGGATGGAAACAAAGCTGGAGGGAAAAAAAAAAGACCATGCAAAATTAGGAGATACAGCCCTCAATTCCAAGGTCCCCCCCACAACACCAATGAACAAGGGATTGGGGGTTTCCCCAGCAAGGTCAGCCAGGATATGGCTATGGCATGGGCTTGGGATGCATTCAACTGATAAGTTTATTGGTCAGGACAGATGAAGATTGATGCAGAAAGGGGGGATCTTTTCCACTTTAGGCATTTTTGGAAGTTATTAAAAATCCATAGCTGCATAAACTTGCATTTACATTTGGCTGGGCCAAACTATTCGAGAGGCTTGTTAAAGATGGGCATTGTTGAAGGATGAGGTCTAGAGGAAGAGGGTGTGATGGAAAGATTGTGGTGCATTAGGCAATAAGGTGGAATTTACTAGAGGAAAGAGAGGTTTGAAAGTAGAAAGGAAAAGCTTGATATTTGGGTCAAGGGGTCAAGTTTATAGGCATTTAGGTGGGGTGTAGAATTGGTGGTTAGGAGACATGGTCAAAGGGAGTCAGGGTCTAATTATATGACTTGTACCTAGGGAGGTTATTTGATAATTGGGGAAAGGCTCAGTGCCCTTAGGAGGGGTACGAAGTCTTAACATACTTCAGCTTCCCATGGCCAGGAATTGACAATTTCAAAATAGTCCGTTCTCAGGGTCCCCATGAAGGATAAGGGCTACACAAATACCATGTCTCAAATATTTACCAATATCAATTTTGCAGGGAAGTGGCTTACATTTTATTAGAAACAATGTAGTTTTGTAGAAGCCAGACCTTTGCTTATCTGATGGAAGTCAAGCTGCAAATCTTCCCCATTCATAGCAGGTACAACAAAAACTTAATATAAGAATTGCATTTAAGGATATTCTGGGATGACCAAATAAAAAGGTTAAGACTTCTAGAGTAAGGCATAGTTTGTAACAGTGTAGGAAGTCTTTTCTCAAGGGTCTTAACATCCTTATAATCATTATATTAAGATTACTTATGACCAAGTTCCATGCTAGTCTTGCACTCAGTTTGAATAAACTAAAAGTAGTCTTGTACCCAGTATGCAAGTTTTATCATTAGGTTATGAATGCATGGATTACAAGTTAAACCCACAACAGTAACTGTTTACATGGTAATTCCACATTAAGGAAAAAATAAAACAGTTTATTCTTAGATTATTAAAATTTATAAATTACACTTGTACACCCTTCGTCTATTCTCTGTAAGTGAATCCCTTTGTCAAGAACTGGAACTTCATAATTTGGGCCGGTTCCTTGCAAGACACCAACAGGAAGTCTGTGAAGGATACCGTAATCATCTTTATGTCTATTGGCTTGCGGCATACTGGAAGCTGTTGATAGAGACGGAAGCCCTGTTGGGGAAGAAACATTAATAGGTTATTGTATCTTTAGTGCACTTGTAAGTCTGATGTGTTTAACCTCAGACAAAAGCTTACTTCAGTTGGAGAGTGATCATACACATCCAGTGTCTGCGAGGATTCGGAGAGCAACAGCAAGTACAAGTCAAACCCAATGTATACCGATTCTTGAGCAACAACACCATATGATGGCAGCCTCTGGTATGGCCGATATCCAGATGGACCATGCTTGAACACCTGTAAAAAATTGGTAATCCAAATTTAAGCAAAATGGTCTCGTTTCTGGACAGAATAAAGAACAAAAACTTGAAATACAGGTTCCCATACCATGACCTCTGTTGTAGGCTTCAGACCGTCTTCACATAAAGATGTTGAAACCTGCAGTTGTGCTAGAGAGAAGTATCGCTCTTTGAGAGAACTCTTTGCATTTAGGAAGATTCCTGATGTTACCCATTGGCCAATGTGCTCTTCTACAAGGGTGAACTGCAAGTAAACATTTACATTATTTTTAGGGTAAATTTAGCGAGGGCTTACCTTTTCATCCAAGCAAGGAAATTTTTACCTTTTCCTCTGTGGGTGACCACAAGTACAACTGTGATGGTACAGTGAAGGGATCTACGGAGTCATTTGAGGCCATATGATTTGCAACCAACAGCAGCCATCCCTCGGGACTCTGGAACAACAACAACAATCATTAAAACTTAAATCTAAAATGGGCAGTAATTTTTTAAAATTAAATACTGAATCGACTTACCAAGGTTAGATCCACTGTAGAAGCACTATAATGTGTCTTCAATGACCAGATGACCACTGGATTCTGGGTTAATTTTACTACACTTATAGTAGAGGTTGCACCAGGACTTCCTTCTGTAGTTGGAAATTACAAACCGTTTAGGACTGTTAAGGCTTCTGTTAACCTCTTTCAATCTGATCAATTTTGGAAATTATAGGTGTAGGTCATGGTGCAAATGTGTACCTGCAATTGTGCCTGCCGTAACAATGTAAGTTACTCCCTTTACCGAAAATACTCCAATATCTGCTACAGTTCCCAAGTCACCAACTGTGTGGCTTTTATCTGCGAGCTGCAATGTTTTCACTTCAGTTGTTCCAGTGCAGCTAGAAGGGAGAAAATTCAGTTTAGACTTGCAAGTGTTCATTAGAGTATATACAGCATGTATTATATGTGCAACTTACTGGTTCACAAGTCCTGTCCCTTCATAACCATCTGAATCAAAGATGAATGCAGAGTCTGTATCATTGAAGTCTTTCCACAACATACCATCATTAGATACCTGAAAAAAAGCAAGTTTATAGTAAAGGGGTAAAAGTGGCTTCAACGGTTCTTTGTTGAGATGGTATTCTAATCTTAAGAATCAAGTTTCTTCTGGAAAGGGTAAACCCTAGCAAATGTAATGTCAAGAGCAAAGTTGCGTTTTAAAATGTTTACAGAATTAGCATGCAAGGCTTAGAATTTTAGTCTATGCATTTAAAATGCTATTTAGGCTTTAGTTGGGCTTCAACCCATTAACTTACATGGTAAAAAGAGTAGCGATTAGGGCATGTGCAAAAGACTTCACACTCCCTTACTGCCAAGAAAGGTATCCCACCATAGCTTCCATAACTCATTTTACCCGTTATTGCTACGGTTTCAATATTAAGCAGTTCGCCATACCTCATGGTTTCATACATGCCTAAAAAGAAATGTAGGTTTTAAGGTCAATGACCTTAAATTTATTGTATAGTCAAATATACGACTATACTAATTCACATACCACAAGCAAGAGCCTTTGTATCGATGAAAACATCAGAGAGTGTGCTATTGAGATTGTAGAGTCTAGTACTGGTGTCCAAAATATTTTTGCTCAAGACGGATGGGGAATAGTTTATATCCTCTAATTTATAGCCGTTTACTTTCCCTGTGACATCAATTGAAGTTTTAGCTGCCACAGCCGCCTCAAAGATCTGCAAGAAGAGGGGTAGTCATCAAAGAGGCGACAGTTACCCATGACAGGTACCCGAAACTAACAAAGTTTATACCAACCAGATTATGTTTTATCTTGTCCGCTCTATCCTTTCGAACGACATTCAGGTTTAATGCTGGAATATCCACATCATTGATTTGAGTAGCTTGGATTTCCCCTTCTACTTTCAAGCCTCCAGCAAAAGTTTTGGGTCCTGTAATATCCTGCTGTATTCTTCCAGACTTTAGTACAATATCTTGTAGTTTTATTCCATTGATTTCTTCAACCTCCAGATCACCTAAGGATTGTAGACTATTTTAGTGCTGGATGTGGTTACAGTTTAATAGCTAGGTGGTCCTAATAAATGGAGTACTCTGCAGGGACTTTCATTGCAGATTTCCATATCCTAGAATAAGATTTGTATCAGAAGGGGACAAGTACTCATTTTAAACTGCTAAATTACAATTTTACTTCCCCAAAAGACAAACTAATTAGCGACTCTTGCCTAAACCCAGTCCTAGTGGATATTAGGAAGAATAAGGGCACTTGTGCAAGCTCAAAAGTTGAAGCATTCACAGTTTAGGATAAAAACTAGTGCCTCCAGACCTTCCACTTTTATTCCCTCGAAGCTTGTAGAAGATGTTAAGGATTCTGTAGTGTCAAGCCTGATTCTATCAATTAGAAGTTGTTCCAGGTCAACGTTATCTATCAGTCCTCCAACCTGATGGATAGTTCAGCATTAGATGCAGCCAATAAAAAAAGTAAATAAAAATAAAAGAGTTTAAAATACTTGCCTCTAGGTCTCCTTTGGCAGTTATGGGGGCTGTGAAGAGCAAGTTGTCTGCAAGTCTGCCACTTGCAGACACTACCACCAAGTCACTTACTGGTATGCCACCTAGGGATCCTGTAGGCCAAGGAGTTGCATTACAATTCAAGTTCAGGGTTTTAGCAACCTGAGAGAAAGGTCAAGGTAAAATTACCCACCAGTAACTTTCAGTCCATCAGCAGTCAAGCCATTAGTGAAAGTCTTTATTCCAGTCATGATGTAAGATCCTCCCAGAGTAAGTACTGCATTAGCATTAATATCCGACACATTAAGAGAGTTTATTAGTGTGCCTTCAGGACCCACACCAAAAACAGTATCCACAGATAGGGTTTTGATCTTCAAGTCTTTGGTGAAGGCGACATTACAGTTTATGACCTGAAATAATAAATATGGTTATTACACCATACACGAGGGGGATTGGTAAAATTTAGTGTCACTTTTGTAACTTACACTATCCTGGTTGTTCATAACTGTTACAGCATACAAGTTATCAATGTCGACTCCATCTGCAGTTTGTGCCAACAAACTCGTCATTGTAACATCAGTGATGAATTCTACTTTCCCTGCAATGGAAATTGCAATTTTAGTCTAGTGGGTTAGATTGGCTCAAGTTTAGGTGCTTACAAAGCAGGGGGTTTATTAATGGGGGGTCTATGACCACTACAGGGGGGGTCATGTAATTACAACAGGTTTAACATGATAAAGTAAAAATACATTAAGTCTCAGTGCCCAAGAGGTTGAGTTACGAATCTTCAGGGGAGTGGTCTAATACTAATTAGGGAGACCTTTAAGAACTTTGGGAAACTTGAGACAAGAGGTTTAGAATCCTTGATTTGAAGCTCCCATTGGGTAGCAAGAATAAGTTTTAAAGTCTAGAAGTTCTTAGAGAAATCTAAGAATAAAGCCTTAACACATCCTATTAAAAATTTCAGATATAACTTTTATACAAGTTCTGCACAACCATGAAACCAGGGCAATCATGGTCTACATGAGAAAATATCTAAGGACTAAAGTAGGAAACAGTCACTTACCCGAGATATCCTGATTTGAAGACTTCAAGACGAGAGTGTTTAAGAAATGAATCAGTTCCCTTGATCCTGCCTTTACAACACCATTAACTGTTGCATCCTTTCGAATGTTAACCGACTTCACGGTTACTGGGAAGGGCATTTCTATACTTCCATCACTTGATCTCCATATAGCAGAAGCATTAAGCTGCAAGTGCAATAAGAGTACCATTTATTGTAGAAATTAGTTATGAAGCCTAGATGTTAACATTGACAACATAGCTTACCTGAACAACGTCACAGCCTAGCTTACCTGAACAACGTCACAGCCATCTAGTACTCCTGTATCGGAAGTAACATCCTTCATTTCTAAGTAATCAGCAAAGTCAACTGATCCACCTACTGATACACCCTGGTCCACCAATACAAGGTTTGCAGTGTTTACTCCATCAATTACTGGAGCATTTACATTCTCTGAAAATAGATTTACTTCATTAGTGGGGCCATGTCCCTGCCGAGTGGCAATTTTATTAGTCAAGGGTTTTCTGGGAAGTTTAAAAAAGGATTCATGGTCACAGGCTGGTGGGGGGGTGGTAATACAAAAAAGAAGTTGAACATACTGGCTATGACGTCGCCAGTGATAGTGTATTTGCTGCCAACATTCTGGTTTGTACTTTTAGTCAGTATTCTGTCTGATAGTTGAGGTACATCAAAGCCATTTATTGTTGTTGGATTGAAGTTACCCGAAATGGATACTGGCTTTGTGAATGTTTTCTTTCCACCAATTACACCATTGTAATTTTGCGGTATAACCTGTAATATAAATTATAGGTTACGCTACCGGTCTTGTGTACATCCCCCCACCCCCCACCCCAACACTTTACACTTTCCTTGCTTAGGTGGGTTGTCCAGTCCTTGCCATTAACTATAGTTAGAGATGGGCTCTGATCCAAGTGTACTCCCTTGTTCACTGTGATAGCACCAGTTATGGCCTGTGGTGTAGGCGAGATCTTTTTAAGACTTCTGTCCACGAGATCTACCACATCAACACCATCAACTGTTCCACTAACGGAGAGTTCGTTCACTGTAAAATACACCATTGTCATTTTTTTTTTTTTTAAGGAAAAGGGGAAAAAATAATAAATTATAAAGCATATCTACCGTTCACACTGGTGGTGAATTTGAGGGGTCCATTAACTGTTGCATCATCAGTCATGATGACCAAGTCATCAACTGCAGACTTCACATTCAATCCATTAAGGCTTTGGACATCTATATTTGCTCTGTTCATACTCAGGGATGCAGCAGTAGTTTTGTCCCCAAAGTTCAAGATACCTGAAGAGTAGTTTCAAGTAAGCAAACCAAGTAAAAAAAAAAAATATGTAAATTAATTAGAGGATTAAAAGGTTTGTTACTCACCTGTGTGAGGCAGTGACAAGTCAAGCCTCATGAAGTCTTTATTCAAATCCCATCCATTCAGCTTGCCATCCAAGTCCAAGCTACCAGATGCACTAATTTTCCCTGCAAAGCTCTTAAGAAACAAGATTACACGATTCATACACTTACCCATACCACTTTGCACAATTTCATACAAGGACTTACTGTTTGTGCAGTTATAGTTTGGTCATCAGTCAGGGTAACCAAGTTACTCTTTAGTGCAGAGACATCAACACCATCTACAGTCTTTCCATCCACCATGTCGAGATTACCAGCCAAATTAACCAAGCCCTGTAACAATGGTTACAGTTAAGAATAAAATTTTTAATCTTCCAAAACTAATATTTTACAATTCAAGTTAGTAACCAAGTGGACTAACCTGGAAAGTGTAGGCCCCATCAATGGTTTGAGAACCTGTAACAGATAGGAAGTCCTCCATCTGGCGTCCATTTACATCATTCGCCGTAACAGCCGCTCTGGAAGTATATATTATTAGTACGTTTAAAGAAGACGGTCTTTTATGCATGATCAAAATTAAACTATACTTACTGGAATGTAGCAGTATCTAAGGTAGGTGATACCAGTATTATCTGGTTTGTGCTTTTCCTCCAATATCTATCTTCAATACCACTCATATCCAGACCATTAATAACTCCTACAGTAACATCTTCCAGGACCTGAAAGAAATTATTAATCATTATTATTTTAATTATTATTATTATTATTATCATCATCATCATCAAAAGCCTCTCCAAATACTTACATTTAGAGTATTAGTAAAGGTAACATTCGTCTTTATGACGAGGTTCCCTTGGTCAAAGGTTTCGAGGCTTTTTGGATGGATGCTGTTTATGGTAGCAGTGTTCGTCATTTGTACCCCCTGAGACCCACTAACCAAAACATCGTCAAGGAAAGTTAGTCGACCTAAAAAAATAAAAATAGAATAAAATAAAAGTACAAGTGCTACCCTTGATTGACAAGGTCAAACATAATTATCCAAAACTTGCCATTGATAATTTGGTCGTCATCAATGGTGGCCACATCAACGTTGATGTCGATGCCATTGATGTCATTACATGTTATAGTAGATATTACGTTAGCATCTGTAAATGTATAATCTCCTGGAATGTGAGGGGTCTGCAGATCGACAATGTTTTCCCTAGCAATTCCATTCAGTTTAGGGCTGGTCATACTACCAGACACTTCGAAGTCGTTCTGGTAGGTCACATCACCTGCAAGACAAAGTTATAATAAAAAAACAAACAGACCCAGAAACTAATCATTAGGGTTACAGACTCACCAGACTTACCAGATAATGTGAAGTCTCCAGAAGTCTTGACAACCATGGTATCAAGTTTTTTCATGTCTACACCATTGATGTGCGTCACATCCACATTTCCATCCACATTTAAGTCATGCAGAGTAAAATGGCCATCCAAGACCTGGGGCTTAAATGTATTCATATACACCAAATCTTCAGCAAGGCTAGAGAGATCAATCTGGAAGGAGAATTATGATCATGCACAGCAGTGCACAGCCTTGTACACTTTTGCACTAGAACTGCTATCCTACTTACTCCATTAAGCAAGTCTAGGTTCAGGTCCTCTAGAATCTTCAAGTTCTGGAAAGATTTCTTGTCTAGGAATGTGGCGTTCTGACCTCTCGTCACAATGTGGTTTGTGTTTATGCCATTAACAACTACATTCTTATTGGCAGTAGTCAATCCCTGGATGCCTTGTACACTTATGTCTCCAAAGTGCAAGTTCCCGGTTACATCTTGAGAAGCTAGACTCTTTCGCAATAGTTCTGGGGTAGGGAGGATTAAAGTGTTAATTGGGCAAACTAGTAATAACCGCCAATTTTCCAAAAATTGGCACGAAACTTACGGTTTGTTTTTACTCCATTAATAGTTGCAGAAGATGCTCCGTCCCTGGTAGTGAAGACATCAGCCTTCATTGTATCGATGTACATTGAAGAACTCACATCTTGGTCAATACCATCAATCATGAACACTTTACTCAGGCTAAGAAGGGGAGTTCCATTTAACTGGAATGGAAGTTTAATTATTATTATTATATTATTAAAAAAGTTTTATCTGCCAAGGTAAAATTCTAACTCGTTATACCAACCTCTGTAAGCTTTGTCGAGCTGGATTCGAAGCTGTCCACAGTTAATGGACTTGCTACTATAGATCCCTTGATAGTTTGATCCTTCGAATGGTAGAGAATGTTGTCCATTCCAGAGTTTACAGTGTCCACACCATGCTGCAAATAACACAAGAAATAAGTACAAGAATAAATATTAAAGTATTTAAAACCAAGAATTAAAAACTTACTCACCTCTAGAGTTGCAGACTTAGATAGGAACAAGTTGTACGTTTCGTCATGTGCTTGCGCAGTACCATCACCTACTACATTCATTGTTTGTTGTACAGTTGCTGTACCATTTACCATCAGTGGTTCAGTAAAGGTTAGTGGGCCATGCCACGTCTGGAAATCAGTTTCATATATTATAAGGAGTTTTTACCAAGAATCCTAAAATATTTTTTTTAAGAGAATTCTTTACCTGCGAGTTGTCAACCGTCATTAAGAGGTCGGTTGTAAGAACTTGACCCAAGTGATCAATAGTAGACTTCCTAGAATCTAGTTCTAGTTTCAGACTATCAAGGCATTGCAGGAGAGTATCCGTTTCATCCGTAGGCTTTTCTGCAAGTGGGAATTTAAAACCCATGAGTTGGTTAAAATTCTTTAAATTTAAGTTTAGCAAGATTAGTTTAAGGTTAACTTTAATACCATCTTACTAATAAACTTTTAAAATTGTACCCATATATATTGGGTGTATCTAGTTTTTTTTTATTTGGTAATACCAATAAAAAAAGTAATTTCGATTTGAGATCGAAATTCAAGATGCGCAGCTAAAATTTCTAGCAAATTGGATTGATATATAAATTTTAAAAAATAAATCTTACCCAAATCTATGTAATCCATGATCACACGTCTGGTCTTCAGTTCAGTTTTACCATTGCTTTCCAGACAGACATATGTTACGACATAATCATTCATTATTTTCACCATAGCAAGGTCACCAATCTTGTTGCAGTTTGTATGCATGACAAAATTAGAATTGAAGTGTGCAGATACATCATCAGCATAGAACATGACTTTACTCTGTTGGAGATAAGATAACTTTAGCCAAATTAAGTTAATACATCAGCAGTGTAATTTTAAACTATTTGAAAAGTCAACTTACACCATAGGCAACCATAATGATGGATTCTAGCGATGAAAATGTGAAGGTCTGTATACTACCTACTGGGTCGACACCAGTGCCCTTATTTAGCTCTTGCCACAAGAGCAGCTGTTCGTCTGATTAAGACGGTAAAAATAAAGGTTAGAATTTATCAATGAACTTTTAGCATTTCAAAAAATGTTGCAGAATTATACTTTACGCACTTGACCATCTGTAGAGTTTGGGTTCTAAACCATTGTTCATAATTATGTAGTGTCTATTTTCTTGCTTTTCATGAAAATAATGAACACTATAAACATCAAGGTCTGTCAACTGCTGGACCAAAGTAAGAGTTCCCAGTTCGGCGTCGAATCTATACACTTGGGAACCCTCCTGTAGGAAGTTGGACACGTCATTAAAGTGAAATACATATGTATATATATATACCCCCATACATAAAAAAAAATTCTTACCGAATGAGTCATGGCAAAGACAAGGTAGTAGCGATTCTTATAAGCAAATCCTGTAATATCACTAACATTCTTCGTTTGGAGGGCAAGGCTGTCTTGCTGGTCGAAGTATTGGCCCACCAATTGGTAAATTCTGAGAATTTTTAAGAGTGGGTTAAGTACTTGTTCGAATAGAACAGTGAACAAGTAATACTGCAAAAGCAATAATGCATATAGCAGTATTAGATTACCTAGAGTTTATCTCTTCGTCCTCTTGACAATTTATATCATTTGCCCCCACTGCCAAGAACAAGTGGCCACCCGTTTTGAACATATGGAGTCCTCCTACCGATCCATCGGTTACAATCACCTGAAGATTTTTGGCAACTTCCGAGACTAGATCGACGACAGTTATCGAAACTAAGTGGTTATCGGACGCCATTGCTATCCAAAGGTTATTGTCGATAATATTGCCCTGCAGGAGTAATATGTAAAGTTATAGCTTAAATTTTACCTTTAGATAAAAAACCCTAGCCATATTTTAAAAATTCCATACGATGGTTTGCCAATACAGGAACAAATACTTACTGCTACATGTTTTATTTCTGCAAGGTCATCAGTCAAGGTAAACCTTCCAATAAGCCTCAACCGATTAAGAGTTGGCGTTATCTCAATCACTGCATGGGATTTCTGGATGCTGGGTTGGAGAATCAAGTTAAAGAGAACTCACCAAGTGTGGTAATGTATATCCATATATAATCATTTCTGTAAATATTGTACTCACCCGTTGTACCCTAAAATCCAGTATTCCTTCATTGGTGTTGATAGGACACGCATATTTGTAACTCCTATAAAATCAGGCTTATCAAATACCGAAGGAT